TATATATATATATATATATATATATATATATATATATATATATATATATATATATATATATATATATTTTAGATACTTGCATTGTGTTTATACTTCCCATAGACAAATACTATACAAACCATGGGTGGTCATGGGAATGGTTACGCTGACAGTCATGAGTGACTTTACTAATGACAGAGCAGAGGTACACGTTGTGTTGGGTAGGGCTTCATCGAACACTTAGTGTCCGTGGTTCAATCCCCGGCACGGGTGGAGAAGTTGGGTGTGTTTCCTTACACCTGTTGTCCCTGTTCACCTAGTAATAAGTAGGTACGTGGGTGTTAGTGAAGTGGTGTGGGTGGCATCCTGGGGGTGATTTAAGAACCACAATGGAAATAAGACATTGATAATACACTGACTTTCTTGGGTTATCCTGGGTGGCTAACACTCCCTACCCTGGGTTATCCTGGGTGGCTAACACTCCCTACCCTGGGTTATCCTGGGTGGCTAACCTTCCCTACCCCGGGAGGGTTAGCCACCCTGGGTTATTAGCATTAAATCATTCTTTGGGGGACACTAAACCCTCGTGGGTCATATAGAACCTGGGGGTGAAGGGGAAATCAGGTTCAGTTACGTAGATCAGGAACCCCCCTCCCCTCAGGGTCGCCAAGCAACCTCCCCCGAGGGGAGTCGCGCCGTCAGGAGCAGCACTGGTGAGAGGATTGCAAGATGTAAACAAACAAGCTTAAACAGCAACACCTATGTATCTTTTTCTCCATTTCTCTTAATATCAAAAGCAGAAGTTTCTCCCAAGACTGTCATATAAGACGCTACATACAGTGCTCAACTAAGTTTCCTCCGATACGCTACACGCAGACACAGGTCTGTGTGTAGTGTATCGGAGGTCGTAATAAATACACCCACGATCATGATAAACCAGGGAAGGTGAGGGGGGGAGTGTGTCGTTGCGTCATCAGGGGTAAAAATACAACTTTCACCTTTGTCCAGGTATTCCACCCTCCCCCCATGGTTTCTCACTCCATCCTCGACACTCCGTCGCTAGACAATAGGGTTGAAAGTCCCTTGGAAATAGACCGCGGGTTTAATTACCCTAAAATCCTGGAAACTGGACAGTAACTCTTACTTTCAGTGAGTTCCTTGTCCAGCTCTTGATTCCGTTCTAACCTGTTTTTCTTTCCTTGGGTCGTAATGTGTCCGGCGACACACTCTTGACGTCTACTCTCATCCCGTAACGTCGCTGCCCGGTTAGTGACATCGCTGCCCGGTTAGTGACGTCGCTGCCCGGTTAGTGACACCCAGGTAACAACTACGTATTACCATAAATAAATCCACACAACACAGTGGGACAGGTCACTGCAACAAGCACAGGACAGTGAACGTCTCACTGCAACAAGCACAGGGAAGTGAACGTGTCACTGCAACAAGCGCAGGACGGTGAATGCGTCACTGCAACAAGCACAGGACAGTAAACGCGTCACTGCAACAAGCACAGGACAGTAAACGCGTCACTGCAACAAGCACAGGACAGTAAACGCGTCACTGCAACAAGCACAGGACAGTAAACGCGTCACTGCAACAAGCCCAAGGCAGCGAACATGCCATCTTGAGAGATGCAGCCTCCACGCCACATCAACACTGCCTTACACACACAGCTGGATGACCTGAGATGCCGCCCCAGCATCATCAGCTTCTCATCTCAGCAAGCCTGCCTTTATTACGTCATTAAAATACAACATCCTAGGGTTATATTTACATTTTTATTTACAGTAAACAAGAGATAAATCAGCTATTTTACACCTGCTTATCGCAGGTAATATGGAATATCCCGGGGCTTGTTAATAAGGCTAAAACCAGCCAGGTGGCAGCACCTTTTTTCATCAAATGATGACGTATTTCACGTATTTGAAGTTATATGTATATATATATAATATATATATATATATATATATATATATATATATATATATATATATATATATATATATATATTCATGAGAAAGCGCTAAATCTGCAAGGGCATGCAATATAGAGCCCTGTAGCCTTGGGTGGCCCGGTGGCCTGGTGGCTAAAGCTCCCGCTTCACACACGGAGGGCCCGGGTTCGATTCCCGGCGGGTGGAAACATTCCGACACGTTTCCTTACACCTGTTGTCCTGTTCACCTAGCAGCAAATAGGTACCTGGGTGTTAGTCGACTGGTGTGGGTCGCATCCTGGGGGACAAGATTAAGGACCCCAATGGAAATAAGTTACAGTCCTCGATGACGCACTGACTTTCTTGGGTTATCCTGGGTGGCTAACCCTCCGGGGTTAAAAATCCGAACGAAATCTTATCTTATCTTATCTTAACATTGCAAGGTCTCGTTGTCACAGACGCCACGTTACATTAACAGTAATTTCCTTTGAAATATGTTACGTTACATTTGTTTACATTTCACTAAGCTGTCCTTGTACCGGAGCTTCACGCTCATGCTCACTTGTATTTAGGGCAGCCACTAAACCCTCAGGGGGTCATACAACGCCTCGGGAATGGGAGACAGTCAAGTTCGATGCGAGGAAGAGGAGAATAAGGATGAACCTCTCGGCGCATCGGTGAGACGCTATCAAGGACGTACATGCCGAGGGTACTTTTATATGACGTTAAATGTTTACTTACTTGAAATATCATGGTGGGGAGCAGTGTTTACCAGTGAAACATGGTGGGGAGCAGTGTTTACCAGTGAAACATGGTGGGGAGCAGTGTTTACCAGTGAAACATGGTGGGGAGCAGTGTTTACTAGTGAATCATGGTGGGGAGCAGTGTTTACCAGTGAAACATGGTGGGGAGCAGTGTTTACAAGTGGAACATCATGGTGGGGAGCAGTGTTTACCAGTGAAACATCATGGTGGGGAGCAGTGTTTACCAGTGAAACATCATGGTGAGGAGCAGTGTTTACCAGTGAAACATCATGGTGGGGAGCAGTGTTTACTAGTGAAACATCATGGTGGGGAGCAGTGTTTACCAGTGAAACATCATGGTGGGGAGCAGTGTTTACAAGTGGAGCATCATGGTGGGGAGCAGTGTTTACAAGTGGAACATCATGGTGGGGAGCAGTGTTTACAAGTGGAACATCATGGTGGGGAGCAGTGTTTACAAGTGAAACATCATGGTGGGGAGCAGTGTTTACAAGTGGAACATCATGGTGGGGAGCAGTGTTTACAAGTGGAACATCATGGTGGGGAGCAGTGTTTACCAGTGAAACATCATGGTGGGGAGGAGTGTTTACAAGTGAAACATCATGGTGGGGAGCAGTGTTTACAAGTGGAACATCATGGTGGGGAGCAGTGTTTACAAGTGGAACATCATGGTGGGGAGCAGTCTTTACAAGTGGAACATCATGGTGGGGAGCAGTGTTTACAAGTGGAACATCATGGTGGGGAGCAGTGTTTACAAGTGGAACATCATGGTGGGGAGCAGTGTTTACCAGTGAAACATCATGGTGGGGAGCAGTGTTTACCAGTGAAACATCATGGTGGGGAGCAGTGTTTACCAGTGAAACATCATGGTGGGGAGGAGTGTTTACCAGTGACAACTGATAAACACACAGTAATCACTACGATAGTTTTTCTTGTAACTTTGGCTCTGAGGTTCAACTTTTATTCTAAAATATTGCAGCTGTAACTCCTATATTTTTGTTTAGCTTGTTGCATTTGGTGTTATTTTGAGCGTGGCAGAACACGAGTCGGTGAAGGCAAGGAATGATCTCGTCACCCACTGATGCTTACTGTGGCTTCACCATTGTTGCAACACAGCTGTTATCTTACCTCAATTCACTGCAAATCTTGGCCCTCTCTCAGGCAGATCACTTCCTGTGATGCGACTCACAACACTACTTCTAGTTACCTAACTAATCTTCACTTACTGATCTCAACAATTTTTTTTAGATATCAGTATAACTAAAGGAATCCTACGAAAACATTTAACAAGTCTGAAAAAAAAACAGTGATTTTTATTTACCCCTGCATTAAATCTGCATAATAGACTACTGTATATAAGTATCTTCAAGCAATATGCCCTGAAATCGCATAAAAAATTATACTTCTGTCTATAAACCATGGATAGATTGCCCTAAATGCAAACTTGCTTGAAGAATGCTGAGGAGACGGGCATTGACGGACATGTCCCATCGTCCCTCATCTACAGTCGTGGTTATGTCGCATTAATGATAAAAGTGAAGAAGTCGTATTTTGTTGGGCTCCTGAGAACTTTGGTGTTCATGGCAATGATCAAGTGGACTCAACCTCTCGGTCAGGAATTCAGGACCTCCCGATTTCCTATGGTATTATTCCTGCCTTGGACAATATTTCAGTGGTCTCAACAACTCTGCAGCTGCTGGCAATAACGTTGATCAGAGTTGGACCACAACTAATTTTCTATCAAGACATGATAAGGTTTCTGGCCATCTTCTCATTGTTTAAGTTTGCGAAACTATATTCTCACACTGCACTCTCTCACATGCCGGACACTCGCGACTCGTTAATAACATGTGCATAAACAACCAGCATTGCTCTGCGAGGTCTGTTAGGTTTTACTGTCAGTCCAAAATATCTTGATAATTTGGCCTATCAGCAGGCACACAATCTTCACGTTTAACATCTACACAGCCCCAACACACACTCACTGACCTCCTCGATGAAAGTCCCATCTTGGATACACTTTCTCCTTGACTTTATAATGGAACTAACCACTTATAGCAACTTCGATTATAATTTTACTCTTACCTAACCCCTACAGGCACTAACCCACACGGAACTAAACCTTTACCATTGCAAATCCTCGCCACACTCCTAACCTTTCTGCATTCTTTTGCGCATACATTACCCACAGCACTGTATGACCCTTACTGATTTAGCAGTTAAGTTGATTATAATAACAATGGCTTACGTGCATTCTCTAGCAGCTTCTGAATATGAAGAAAATGGTCGATAAATTAAAATATTAAAAATACTGATTTTCCCCCACTTGCAGAATGAGATTGCAGGCGACGATAGTGTTGGTGGCGGCGGCAGTGGTTGGCAGCGCCCCTGTACCGGCACCACCAGCTGAAGACAACTTAGTGGAGCTTCACGAAGAGGGATTGATGATATTGGTACCCACAGTGCCCATGGCCAGCAAGGACAAGGACGAGAAGGTGCTGAAGAGAGATGTAAGTCCATCACCCACGGCCTTCCTAAGATGGGTACACATCTCCCCATCGTAGGCTGTGTAAACTTTAGAGTTTAGACCAATTATGTTCATGGGGGGAGGTGTTATACCCAGGGGGGGGCATACAACATCTGTGGTCATGGGAAACTATCAAATTCAATCATAGGCAAGTGAGAATGGGTCCCATTCGTTTGATCAAGCCTGATGACGACAGTCCCGCCCATTTCCCAGGTGTTATGGCCCCTACTTCTTTAGAGCTTCCCCATGAAAATAAAATTAATATTAACTAGATGTGTTTCAGTGGTTGTGCGATAAGGTAAAGGTATCCCCCATAAGTCAAAAGCCCAGCCCCCTCTACATCAATGCAAAAGGAATAGTGCAGAGTGGTCTGGAAATTCTAATGTAGCAAAATATATATAAATGCATTCCTACAATTTTTGTCCTAGTTACCGTACACTGACGCTGATGGTTTTGAAGCTGATGGAATAGAGCGTTTACCACTTACGAAGAAAAACAGACACGAAAAATTGGAGGAAAGAAAAAATTAGGCGACCACTTACTACCCTGACTCGTGCTCCGTCGTGCTCCGTCGTGCTCCGTCGTGCTCCGTCGTGCTCCGTCGTGGATTATCGCAGCTTCTTCGGCGTGCTAGATGCATTGAAGTGTGTCAGTGAGCATATAAATTACATCCGTCCAGCGCTTGGAACTAGTCTAGCAAATAACGGTACAGACTGAGCCTAAGAAAAGTAAAAGTGTGTAATAACATAGCAGAGTCGTACTCCCAGAGGGGAACTATAGGCCTAGTGCCATACTACCAGAGGGAACTATAGGCCTAGTGCCATACTCCCAGAGGGAAACTATAGGCCTAGTGCCATACTCCAAGAGGGGAACTATAGGCCTAGTGCCGTACTCCCAGAGGGGAACTATAGGCCTAGTGTCATACTCCCAGAGGGAAACTATAGGCCTAGTGCCATACTCCCAGAGGGGAACTATAGGCCTGGTGCTGTACTCCCAGACGGAAACTATAGGCCAAATGCCATACTCCCAGAGGGGAACTATAGGCCTAGTTCTGTACTCCCAGAGGGGAACTATAGGCTTAGAGTGCCGTCTGGGCGTAAATAACTTGGAACAAATTTGAGAAGAAACAGTCTGATAGTGTAATGCATAGATGTAGTGTATATCACAGTGGTACCCTAGTGTATATCACAGTGGTACCCTAGTGTATATCACAGTGGTACCCTAGTGTATATCACAGTGGTACCCTAGTGTATATCACAGTGGTACCCTAGTGTATATCACAGTGGTACCCTAGTGTATATCACAGTGGTACCCTAGTGTATATCACAGTGGTACCCTAGTGTATATCAGTGGTACCCTAGTGTATATCACAGTGGTACCCTAGTGTATATCACAGTGGTACCCTAGTGTATATCAGTGGTACCCTAGTGTATATCAGTGGTACCCTAGTGTATATCACAGTGGTACCCTAGTGTATATCACAGTGGTACCCTAGTGTATATCACAGTGGTACCCTAGTGTATATCACAGTGGTACCCTAGTGTATATCAGTGGTACCCTAGTGTATATCACAGTGGTACCCTAGTGTATATCACAGTGGTACCCTAGTGTATATCAGTGGTACCCTAGTGTATATCACAGTGGTACCCTAATGTATATCACAGTGGTACCCTAGTGTATATCACAGTGGTACCCTAGTGTATATCACAGTGGTACCCTAGTGTATATCACAGTGGTACCCTAATGTATATCACAGTGGTACCCAAGTGTATATCACAGTGGTACCCAAGTGTATATCACAGTGGTACCCTAGTGTATATCACAGTGGTACCCTAGTGTATATCACAGTGGTACCCTAGTGTATATCACAGTGGTACCCTAGTGTATATCACAGTGGTACCCTAGTGTATATCACAGTGGTACCCTAGTGTATATCACAGTGGTACCCTAGTGTATATCACAGTGGTACCCTAGTGTATATCACAGTGGTACCCTAGTGCCTATCACAGTGGTACCCTAGTGTATATCACAGTGGTACCCTAGTGTATATCACAGTGGTACCCTAGTGTATATCAGTGGTACCCTAGTGTATATCACAGTGGTACCCTAGTGTATATCACAGTGGTACCCTAGTGTATATCACAGTGGTACCCTAGTGTATATCAGTGGTACCCTAGTGTATATCACAGTGGTACCCTAGTGTATATCACAGTGGTACCCTAGTGTATATCAGTGGTACCCTAGTGTATATCACAGTGGTACCCTAATGTATATCACAGTGGTACCCTAGTGTATATCACAGTGGTACCCTAGTGTATATCACAGTGGTACCCTAGTGTATATCACAGTGGTACCCTAATGTATATCACAGTGGTACCCAAGTGTATATCACAGTGGTACCCAAGTGTATATCACAGTGGTACCCTAGTGTATATCACAGTGGTACCCTAGTGTATATCACAGTGGTACCCTAGTGTATATCACAGTGGTACCCTAGTGTATATCACAGTGGTACCCTAGTGTATATCAGTGGTACCCTAGTGTATATCACAGTGGTACCCTAGTGTATATCACAGTGGTACCCTAGTGTATATCAGTGGTACCCTAGTGTATATCACAGTGGTACCCTAATGTATATCACAGTGGTACCCTAGTGTATATCACAGTGGTACCCTAGTGTATATCACAGTGGTACCCTAGTGTATATCACAGTGGTACCCTAATGTATATCACAGTGGTACCCAAGTGTATATCACAGTGGTACCCTAGTGTATATCACAGTGGTACCCTAGTGTATATCACAGTGGTACCCTAGTGTATATCACAGTGGTACCCTAGTGTATATCACAGTGGTACCCTAGTGTATATCACAGTGGTACCCTAGTGTATATCACAGTGGTACCCTAGTGTATATCAGTGGTACCCTAGTGTATATCACAGTGGTACCCTAGTGTATATCAGTGGTACCCTAGTGTATATCACAGTGGTACCCTAGTGTATATCACAGTGGTACCCTAGTGTATATCACAGTGGTACCCAAGTGTATATCACAGTGGTACCCTAGTGTATATCACAGTGGTACCCTAGTGTATATCACAGTGGTACCCTAGTGTATATCAGTGGTACCCTAATGTATATCACAGTGGTACCCAAGTGTATATCACAGTGGTACCCTAGTGTATATCACAGTGGTACCCTAGTGTATATCACAGTGGTACCCTAGTGTATATCACAGTGGTACCCTAATGTATATCACAGTGGTACCCTAGTGTATATCACAGTGGTACCCTAGTGTATATCACAGTGGTACCCTAGTGTATATCACAGTGGTACCCTAGTGTATATCACAGTGGTACCCTAGTGTATATCACAGTGATACCCTAGTGTATGTGACAGTGGTACCCTAAATCACTCCCTACGAAAGTAAAAGACTGGGCAGGCGATGCAAAATGCCGCCAATAAAAAGTAGGGGCGCCATTGGTACACTAAGGGAAAACACCATAAGTGTCCGGGGCCCAAAACTGTTCAACAGCCTCCCATCAAGCATTAGGGGAATTGCCAATAAGCCCCTGGCTGCCTTCAAGAGAGAGCTGGACAGATACCTAAAGTCAGTGCCGGATCAGCCGGGCTGTGGCTCGTACGTTGGACTGCGTGCGGCCAGCAGTAACAGCCTAGTTGATCAGGCCCTGATCCATCGGGAGGCCTGGTCATGGACCGGGCCGCGGGGGCGTTGATCCCCGGAATAACCTCCAGGTAACCACCTCCAGGTAGTGTATGTGACAGTGGTAGCCTAGTGTATATCACAGTGGTACCCTAGCATATATCACAGTGGTACCGTAATATATATCAGTGGTACCCTAGTATATATCACAGAGGTACCCTAGTGTATATCAGTGGTACCGTAGTGTACAGACACCATAATAAATATTGTAGTAAGAACCCCAGTGGAAATTTGTAAATTTGACTTTTTTGGGTTATCCCAGGTTCTCTACACATATGCTGCTATGTATGATAATCTATGTAACTGTATTGTGTATACCTGAATATACTTATAATATGGTGTCTCGTAGTTCGGTCAGTAGCTTAGCTTACACACTGAGGTCCGGAGTTGGAATCTCTGGTACGGTTGGACAACATTACGATGTGTAAACCATACCCCCGGCCGGGATTGAACCCGCGGTCATAGTCTCAAAACTCCAGCCCGTCGCGGTTTATTTGCAATCGTGTCATTACGATTTCTTGAGTCATGTTGACGGCAGTGAGGGGACTTGAGCTAGAGTTCGTCACGGCCACGCTAGCTGGAGATTCGTCTGTAAAAACTTGCATTTGTGGTCACAGAGGTGCCTGTGCTAACTTTCCTATGGTGTAGAAATATACCTAGTTGGATGAATCTTATTGTGGCTAGCTGGTCTAGTGGCTAACGCGACGGGCTGGAGTTTTGAGACTCTATGACCGCGGGTTCAATCCCGGCCGGGGGTATGGTTTGTTTGCAATCGTGTCATTACGATTTCTTGAGTCATTACGATGTGTCTCCATAAGACACCTGCTGTCCATGTTCACCCATTAGTATAAAATAGGTACCTGGGTGTTAGTGGACTGGTGTGGGTCGCATCCTGGGACAAAACTGACCTAATTTGTGGGAAATGCTCAGCATAACAAGAGGCTTTCTATATAGTAGTATGTCACTGATGTCAGATAGACCTGTATACTTTGTACGTGTACTTGTTGAAATAGATATAATTTAAGAGGGAAGTGATAGTGTTGTAAACAGTTGCCAGCAGTCGCCAGGATATTGCCATAAAAATCCTTACAATAGTTACCATAGTTAATAATAGTAACACAATGGTACTTAGTCTGGTGGAGTGAGTGATATTAGCAAGGTCTTTCTTTTATGCAAATACCGTATCTCCACAAGTAACTGTATACTGTATATACCACACGTGTGTAGTATATCTTGCTACACCACACTTGGGTGTGGCATATCTTGCCACACCACACTTGGGTGTGGCATATCTTGCCACACCACACTTGGGTGTGGCATATCTTGCTACACCACACTTGGGTGTGGCATATCTTGCCACACCACACTTGGGTGTGGCATATCTTGCTACACCGCACTTGGGTGTGGCATATCTTGCTACACCACACTTGGGTGTGGCATATCTTGCCACACCACACTTGGGTGTGGCATATCTTGCTACACCGCACTTGGGTGTGGCATATCTTGCCACACCACACTTGGGTGTGGCATATCTTGCTACACCACACTTGGGTGTGGCATATCTTGCTACACCACACTTGGGCGTGGCATATCTTGCCACACCACACTTGGGCGTGGCATATCTTGCCACACCACACTTGGGTGTGGCATATCTTGCCACACCACACTTGGGTGTGGCATATCTTGCCACACCACACTTGGGTGTGGCATATCTTGCCACACCACACTTGGGTGTGGCATATCTTGCCACACCACACTTGGGTGTGGCATATCTTGCACACCAACTTGGTGGGCATATCTGCCACACCACACTTGGGTGTGGCATATCTTGCCACACCACACTTGGGTGTGGCATATCTTGCTACACCACACTTGGGTGTGGCATATCTTGCCACACCACACTTGGGTGTGGCATATCTTGCCACACCACACTTGGGTGTGGCATATCTTGCCACACCACACTTGGGTGTGGCATATCTTGCCACACCACACTTGGGTGTGGCATATCTTGCCACACCACACTTGTGTCAAGTCGTAGTTTATCAAACTGGCTTAACAATGCAAATTCACGTGACGTGCTGGTTAGTAATATAGCTGAGACGTGTGTAGTCACGTGTAGTTACACTGTGTGGGGTTCAGTACCTTGGATATACCGTTAAGTTCCAAGAGTTATACTCCCAGAGCCCGGCTTTGGGCCAGGCTCGGCTGGGGCATGTCTGGTCAACCAGGCTGTTGCTAACCCACCAACATAGGAAATCTACTTCGCTATAACAATTTAGAGAATTGCATATTTGTGAGACTGGCCGCTGTTAGGGTGGTCATATGGCAAATCCTGACCTTCACTTCGTGTTCCGTACAGGTCGAATACGAAATCATCACCATCCCCAAAGAGATGCTGAAGAGGGAGATCAGACAAATCTCTCAGCTCTACGGTGCACCATCCAGGTAAACACACTTACACTTTAATGTATCTTCCGCCACTTGTTAAGTACGCTAGAACAAGTCATTCTTTATATATTCAAAACTGATGGTTAAGAAGTGTCTCCTTGTAGTGTTAGAGTAAAATCTACATAACTGGTACAAGAGACGTCACACTGAAGACAAACTCAAATTTAAATATTAGATTTTTTTCATAATGAAATTAAAATTTGAGTTACATAACATTCTGAAAAAAAAAATGTACATTTCAGCATATTTTTCTAGGATAGAAATTAAATATATTCAGATACATAAAAAAATATATTATATACTTCCTCTTGACTTATGATACTCTTAACAAGACTCAAGAGTCTCAAAACTCCAGCCCGTCGCGGGTTCAATCCCGGCCGGGGGTATGGTTTATATTCTTAACAACTCTGTTAAATTACCGTCACGCTGAAAATATATGAATTATCTCGTAGTTTTGGAGTCACTCGATTCAATAATGATTCTCTACGTCAGGCTCCTACATTTTATTTTAATAAATTGTGATTTCAGAATGAAAGCTTTCAAATTTATTCTTTCCCTGCTAACTATAGCAGTTACGCTGTTCTTTCCCTGCTAACTATAGCAGTTACGCTGTTCTTTCCCTGCAACTAGCATTACGCTGTCTTTCCTGCTACTATAGCATAGCTGTTCTTTCCCTGCTAACTATAGCAGTTAACGCTGTTCTTTCCCTGCTAACTATAGCAGTTACGCTGTTCTTTCCCTGCTAACTATAGCAGTTACGCTGTTCTTTCCCTGCTAACTATAGCAGTTACGCTGTTCTTTCCCTGCTAACTATAGCAGTTACGCTGTTCTTTCCCTGCTAACTATAGCAGTTACGCTGTTCTTTCCCTGCTAACTATAGCAGTTACGCTGTTCTTTCCCTGCTAACTATAGCAGTTACGCTGTTCTTTCCCTGCTAACTATAGCAGTTACGCTGTTCTTTCCCTGCTAACTAAAAGCAGTTACGCTGTTCTTTCCCTGCTAACTATAGCAGTTACGCTGTTCTTTCCCTGCTAACTATAGCAGTTACGCTGTTCTTTCCCTGCTAACTATAGCAGTTACGCTGTTCTTTCCCTGCTAACTATAGCAGTTACGCTGTTCTTTCCCTGCTAACTATAGCAGTTACGCTGTTCTTTCCCTGCTAACTATAGCAGTTACGCTGTTCTTTCCCTGCTAACTATAGCAGTTAAGCTGTTCTTTCCCTGCTAACTATAGCAGTTACGCTGTTCTTTCCCTGCTAGCTATAGCAGTTACGCTGTTCTTTCCCTGCTAGCTATAGCAGTTACGCTGTTCTTTCCCTGCTAACTATAGCAGTTAAGCTGTTCTTTCCCTGCTAACTATAGCAGTTACGCTGTTCTTTCCCTGCTAGCTATAGCAGTTACGCTGTTCTTTCCCTGCTAACTATAGCAGTTAAGCTGTTCTTTCCCTGCTAACTATAGCAGTTACGCTGTTCTTTCCCTGCTAACTATAGCAGTTACGCTGTTCTTTCCCTGCTAGCTATAGCAGTTACGCTGTTCTTTCCCTGCTAGCTATAGCAGTTACGCTGTTCTTTCCCTGCTAGCTATAGCAGTTACGCTGTTTTTCCCCAGTTGTGTTTCACTCTTGTCTTCCCAACTGATTCCCCCGATTTTTCTTTCATTTTGATCATGAGGAAGCGCTAAGCCCGTAGCGGGGGCCACATAGCGCCCGTGGGGAATGGGAGGCACTCGGGTTCGATCAAAGGAAAGGGGGAAATCTCAGAATCTCCTTGTACCATCCCCCTCCCCTTCCCATTTCGACGTTGCTAACCTGTAATACAACGCATTTCCTTCCCTATCTTGAGCATGTGTCGCCTAACATTTCCCCCAAATTTCTCCCCACTTTTCTGAGTTAATTTCCCCTCTTTCCCCAGTGCTGCGTCGGGAGGAGAACCCATCTTCCTTGTTGACGAGTGAGTTGGAGGCGATGTGTTGCTACTGTGCTTCCTGCATAGCTAGAGCGCTGCCTGGTTAAAACACACCAGTGCGCGTGTACACACACACACACACACACACACACACACACACACACACACACACACACACACACACACACACACAGTATACACGAGAAACCAAGACTGTAAGGGTGTATAGAAGTCAAATTACTAATGGGCATTGCCAGGTTAGACAGGAGCAGGTTCTCGACCAGGTTAGACAAGAACAGGTTCTCGACCAGGTTAGACAAGAACAACTTCTCGACCAGGTTAGACAAGAACAGGTTCTCGACCAGGTTAGACAAGAACAGGTTCTCGACCAGGTTAGACAAGAACAGGTTCTCGACCAGGTTAGACAAGAACAGGTTCTCGACCAGGTTAGACAAGAACAGGTTCTCGACCAGGTTAGACATCAGAAAGGCAGGACTGTAAATTGAGAACCCAGATGACCTACACAGATATTAGTAAACATTATTAGGATGGTAAATAAACCGAACAGAGCTAAACACTGTCACGGGGGCAATGAAAAATCCAGACAAGTCTTCAAAAATATAATATACGAGTCTCGCTCATGTCAATCAGTCGAAAGTAATGAGGCCGGGCCATGAGCTGGAGCTCACACACAATCTGATGGGGGAGGGATGGCGGCCCTTGGTCCAAGGAACTGCAACCGCCCTCTCTTTTGCCTTAGGAACCCTGGCTGTCTTCCCATTCAGCAGGCACTGTGAGACTCCTTGGTGGGTTTAGCGCTTACCACCCCCACCTCAACAACCGCACTGGAGAGAGGTTATTGTGAGGGGAAGTGCCGAGAAGTAATTATCTTCCTGAGGTTGTCTGGGGAGGAGGTAATTATCTTGCTGAGGTTGTCTGGGGAGGAGGTTATCTTACTGAGGTTGTCTGGGGTGGAGGTTATTATTTTACTGAGGTTGTCTGGGGAGGAGGTTATTATCTTACTGAGGTTGTGTGGGGTGGAGGTAATTATCTTACTGAGGTTGTCTGGGGAGGAGATAATTATCTTACTGAGGTTGTCTGGGGAGGAGATAATTATCTTACTGAGGTTGTCTGGGGAGGAGGTAATTATCTTCCTGAGATTGTCTGGGGAGGAGGTTATTATCTTACTGAGGTTGTCTGGGGTAATTACCTCAGTTCTTAGGGGGGAGGGGGAGCTGAATTATTTTTTAATTAAAAAGCAAGCGCTAAACATGTATGGCCCAAGCACCAGGCGTGAGCTACATGTCTTATCACATTCATGGAGAAGCGCTAAACCAGTAGGTCGATATACAGCTCTTGGGCTAATGGGAGACAATTAGGTTCGATTTTATTTTAGAAAGAGCAGATTAGGTGCCTTGGAGCAAGAGCCCTCTCACCGGCGTCAAGGAACCTCCCATCATGGGAAGAGTGAGCTGTAGCTCTTGGCCCGGCAAATTCTTTCAACAAATCAGTGGGCTGATTTTTATATATATATATTAAGGGAACGGCTCGTTCCCTTGAACGGATGAACCTCGACTTCATACTTATTTCTGCAACATTGCAAGCTGATGTGTTAATTTCAACACGATAGTCCTAGAGCTATCATTCAACTTCTCCCTGGTTATTTTGCACACACAAATATATATATATATATATATATATATATATATATATATATATATATATATATATATATATTAAAATATATATATATATAAATTTATATATTTAGTTTGTGTATAATTATGTGGTTAAGATGCCAAGGTTGTTAGGAGGGGAGAGACAGGCTCGGAGGTTTCCCTTCTCACTGATCTATTACACATTTTGTTCTAGTTTGTCATGGGTTGCTGCATTTACTGTCTCGTCTTGTATTCTGTTCCACAGCTATATACAGCAGAGCTTTCTTCAGTCTTCCGTATCCACATTATTATAATAATTATATGTTCTAGTTTGTGTTTATTATGTGTGTGTGTAGGTGTTGTGGGGTGGAGGTGGGTGTCTTCTCACTGATCGTTTCATTTTTTCTGGTGATGGTTCTGCTTCTGGTTCGTCTTTATTTGTTAAGTATTTACAGATTTTTCGGTTTCCAGTTACCTGAATCAGACTTTTCTAGTGTTGTGTGTTTTTTTGTCGTTTGTGTTGTAGTTCTGTTCGTAGGTTCTTACTGGATACTTAGCTCCTGTTCACTGCATTCTTAGTTTTACTATTTTGTCCTTCCGTCCATTCTGAAGATTAGTTCTCCTCCGTTCACTGCCTCTCCGTCCAGTCTCACTGCCTCTCCGTCCAGTCTCACTGCCTCTCCGTCCAGTCTCACTGCCTCTCCGTCCAGTTTCACTGCCTCTCCGTCCAGTCTCACTGCCTCTCCGTCCAGTCTCACTGCCTCTCCGTCCAGTCTCACTGCCTCTCCGTCCAGTCTCACTTGCTTACAACTTAGAAAGGGAAAATGGTTATCCCTGACCATGACTCTCCAGCATTTTCATCTGCCAACAGTCACACTAGCTCCCCATTTCTCAGCTTGTAGTTACTTGTTCGTAATACCTCTTTTAGTCTGCGAGGTGGCTCGGCGAGCTCTAGTTCCTGGCACCGCTTCTTAACTTTCTCCGACTGACGTTAACCATGTCATTTAAAGTTCTCAACCCTCTTGTGCAGTTCGTTTCTTATGTGTTATTGTTTACCTCATTCCGAGTCTTCATTTTGCGTGTTTTCTAGCAACACTCTCGCTCATTTAGGTGTGTAAGTGCAACACTGTGTTCTTAGTCTTGTTTCATTCTTTGAAAACACGGTCATGGTTTAACTCTGTCGTGCAGTATTTTGTATGTAGTTCCTGCAGTAATGTAAGACATAGTTTTAACGCGTTTTCTTCGTTACTAAATTCCCTCAACTGTATAACAAGATTTACTAAGATTACGCCGGTCTTTTTGTGGCAAGTGTCAGTGGCAAGTGTCAGTGGCAAGTGTCAGTGGCAAGTGTCAGTGGCAAGTGTCAGTGGCAAGTGTCAGTGGCAAGTGTCAGTGGCAAGTGTCAGTGGCAAGTGACGTAAACCTTTATAATCTGTGAGTTTCTAATATTTACTCCCTGAACCTCCTTTGACAGACAGAAGTTTGAGAATTATATATGAAATAACATGCTTGAAATAATGAAGATAAAGTAAATATTCACTCGAAAGACTTCATATATTCTTCGTTAATTAAAAATATATCACAGCTTTGCACACCCTTGCAAATGCAGGTGCAAAATTATCATTCCAAGAGTGTATTTACACCCAGAGATGTGTAGATGCATTTAACAAATTCTTTAAAAAGTTGTGTCTCAGGGGTGATATTGTTGTTAGTGTTTAGGTAATTTGGAGTTTTAATAACCCAGTGCAGTAGGCCTCAGAAAGTAACGAACTTGATCATTAGATGACGGAAAAATGCTTGACTTGAGGTATGTGGTGATTATATGGCAGCAGTCACGTTATACTACCACTCAGCTGACAACAGGGCATCTACTGGGCCTTCCACCTGACCACAGCCAACCAACACCTACGTCCAGTCCAATTATCCAGGTGACAGTAACTGGCACAGCAGATGGACGACTGTGGTAATGACTGGTGAAGCTTACGGACTGCTGCAGACACTGACTGATCCTTGACTGGTGTCAGCTGTGGGATTTTGTAGCTGTTGATCCGTTAAGTGGATATATTCTTAAGGAATTACATACCAAGTTTACTGTCTTAACCTCACTTCTAAGATGTTATTCATTGACGTGACTAACTTCACAATAATAATTAATGCATGTGATAATCTAATATATTTATGTAAAGTTTAAATAAAATCATTTCGGAAACAGCATACTGGAAGTTAATAAAATACTTCTATATATATTTAACTGTTGCTCGTAAAACTGACTAATTCTTAGTTTCTCACAAACAGCAGCTCTGTTAATAACTACGAGACCAAGAGTATTCTAACTGCAGCACCAACAGTAAGGCAAGTATATATATCAGTGATTTTTATTATTAATTCCTGATGGGGTCCCTTACGAGGTTGTTAGACGTTTCCTTCATTTTCTCCCTTTAATTAAACTTTTCGACTTATTTCGCTCATAACTCGAAAACGCCAAAAAAATTTACTTCCAATTTTTAACACTTGTGTACGGTAACGAGGACCAAATTCTTGGAACAATTGGCATGTTGATGCGCCTTGTGACACCCAAGTTGTTGAACCCATCCCCATTATTATAATCAAAACTAAGCTCTAAACCCACCACGGTGATACAGCCATGAAAATCCATTCCCAGCATCCTGGAATGGTTCAGATAACTTCAAAAATTTTCACAGGCGGCGCTTTAAACGTTCAAAAAAAAAAAAAAAGGTTTCTAAAAATTCGACAATGGCGGAGAGTGAAACAAGTGACCAGGAGAAAATTTGACCATTTTGATACTTTGGGACGGTTTTTATTGCCGACAAATCAAGTTAAATCATTTTCAGCATGCCTCTTCTGATCGGCTTCAAACCTTAAATACCGGTGTATCTTAATATGAAGTATTTTTGTATTTATTTTGGACTGTGTGGGCCCCAATTTCCATTTTTTTTTTTTTTTACAAATTTATCGAATTGAATTTAAATAAAAAAATTACAGAATTTTAGAGAATTTTATGTAGAAAGCAAATGAGAAAAGGACCCCCCCCCCCAAAAAAAAAAAAATCACGCGAAGCGAACCATACCACGACGGATTTGAACCCGCGTTCAGAAGTTTCTAAACTCTAAGACTTTTCGTTTTATGCTTAGTTAATCCATGGATCGCTAACTATTGGATCAACATTCGCATGATTTGGAAGGGAAGATTGGTGGTATTCGTTAATTTCAGAGGAAACGGAGACAGATCCATCCCCCTAGATCAAAAGAACACCTCACGCAGGATCAGTAACCTCCCACTGGATTGACCCCTCTGATACTAATTATCGTGACATCTGAGAACGACTTACTTAATCGCTTAAATTTGTAAGCTGGTCTCCATAGGAGGGTTACTACCAAGGAAGGGGATTGCGAGATAATTATTAGGTAAAAGCCCTCACACACGGAAGTCCTTCAAGTGAGGTATACGAGCAAACCTGCATATTCGGAGAAATTCCCTCTGATCAGCCGGCTGGGTTCATACATCTTCTTACATGCTGCCACTTAATCGCCATTTGATCAGATCTCGATCTGGCAGTCGTCAGGATGGTTCAGTAATAACTTATTGTATAAATACTTCTGAAGCTGCAGCGATCCATGGGAAACAAATGCGATATTTGAGAATACAAACGGTCCTGACCACAGACTTCTGGAGTTTACTGGTTTACCTGGAGAGTTTCGGGGTCACGCCCGTCGGCCGGTCTGTGACCAGGCTCCTGGTGGAATCATGCTTGATATACCAGGCTGTTCTGCTGGCGCCATGGCAAACAACGTACGAGCCACAGGATAAAAGGGTGACCCCAAACCCATGCAAGTCGTACAATCCTGAATCATAACTGGTGAATAGAATACTATACCCTATTCATTGAAAGAGATGGTGTGAGTGGTGTGACTTGGACTAACAGGTTTGTGCTGTGTTCTTTAAGTGGATGTGACCTAAAGATGNCTAGGTTAGGTTATTGGCTTAAACCGGTGGGAGACTTGAACCTGCCTCCCATGGGCCAGTAGGACTGCTGCAGTGTTCCTTATGTTCTTTTGTAGTTGGACGATCCTGTTATAGCCAGCTGGCCCAGTAGTTAACGCAGTGGCCAGCGAGTTTAACTCGTTTGCAATCGTGTCAGTACGATTTCTTGAGTCACTTAGCATGGGTTCTAACCCCTTCCCGTTCCCTGATTTATAATGCAAACTCTTCAGTTTTCCAGATTATTATAATCATGGGAGAACGCTAAACCCGTGGGAGGGAAGGATATGGAAGGTATTCAGGGACAATTCAGGGAACCGGAGCACAGATCCAATTCCCTAGATCAAGAGATCAAGAGCCCCCTACCAGCGTCATGGAATGTCCCTTGAGGGGTCTCGGTTTTCCAGAACTGTTATCTACTGTACCACCTTTGAGGTCTAAACACATATGCAGTATAATGTGATCCTTTATTGACTACGTTTCGCCCACACAGTGGGCTTTTTCAAGACTTGAAAAAGCCCACTGTGTGGGCGAAACGTCGTCAATAAAGGATCACATTATACTGCATATGTGTTTATATTTCCATTGAGTCGGTATTTTATACCATTTATTTCCACCTTTGAGGTCGCAGCTTATCAGAAACAAGAAAATGTTCCTCATTGTTTTATCAGTTATCTCATTTGGGTTATGTAATTTTTTAACGAAGAAAACAGTGTACCCGCATTTTAATGTATGTACGTTTTGAATATCTGTGTGTACTTTGATAATTATTATAAATATAACCCACAAGGGTCATACAGCGCTTGTATACTTTGGTTTATGTGCGTGGATTTTAGATTTTTTAGATTTTGCCACCGAAGTGGCTAGTTTATTGTGCACCCCATATCCATCCTGTGGACGGTAGCGCGAGAGCATATGGATATACAAAAGGCCTAGGAACTAGGCCCCAGAGGGTTAACAGGAATACATATGGATTTATATCTACATATCTATAGTTCACTTATCTGTTGCAAGCAAATTTAGGAAATTTGCTTAGTATATCTGGTATCTTATTTTCATTAATAAGATATCTTGACATGTCACATAGGTTATTATACTGTCTCTGTATTCCTCAATAAGTGGACAATTAAGCACATAGTGTTCAAGAGAGTGACCATATACCTGATCACATAATTTACATTTAGTTTGATCATCATCTGTGTGTCTCCCAAACTGCCAGAAGTACTTGTAACCAAGCCTAAGCCTGGCCACTACAACATCAGTCAGTACTTGTAACCAAGCCTAAGCCTGGCCACTACAACATCAGTCAGTACTTGTAACCAAGCCTAAGCCTGGCCACTACAACATCAGTCAGTCTGTTCACATTGCAAGTTGCTCCATAAACATACTTATCTACGTTCATGTTATCATAGTGGGTTATAGATCTACTCAGGCTTCTAACTGCATTCCTATAACAATCATTTTCATTATTTACTTCTCTCCTAATATTATTCCTAATGCTAGACACAGATATACCAAAGTTATATTCTACATTCTCCTTCTGGGTACTCTTCTTGGCTAACATATCAACTTTATCATGAAGGAGTAATCCAATGTGTGATGGGATCCATAGCAATTGTACATTAATTCCTTTGTCCCTAATTTTTGAGTATCTATCCCTGGCTTCTCCAATGAGCATGTTGCTGGAGTCATTATATGTGCGTGGGTACGTACCAATCAATGCTTTTCTGTCATTTGTTTCTCTGTATCCAAGTTCTTCTCCCACTTGTAGCCCCGTTTTATTTTTCCACTGTCATCTTTTCCGCACACAGTGGCGGCATCAAGAGGGCTTTTAGGGACTTGAGCTCAGATATTCTCTCAGTTCCCCAAAAGGCTATAGAAATAACGCTGCTTCAAAGCAAGTTTCTTTGTCTCCACTTCCAACCAGACAGCCACCTCCAAGCCCACTCAAGTATAGAAATTCTGGCGCCGCCGCTGCCAGTACTTACCATTATGCACATGGGCAACAGTTAGGCAACTTAATTCTGAAACGTTTGGCCTACACAGTAGGCTTCTTCAGTCAAGTACAGAAAGTAGGCAGGAGCAGTAGTGATGCAAAGACGATGTAATCAGTCCATCACCCTTGAAGTCGTAGATTTGAGGTTGTCAGTCCCTCAGCCTGGAGAAGTTCAGTTCCATAGTCTGGAACTATCTGAAGATCAAGCTACAGTGCGGAGACTTAAATACTGTCGGAAGGAGAGGTGCAGAGAGTAGTAGTAGTGAGAACGCAGCCACTGAGAGGTCACGTCCCTCTCAGATCAAACAATTTTCACTTGAAAAAGTTGTCCAAGGTGTTTTCTGTACCAAGATGCCATTGTGTTGCAGTGTCTGACACGGTGAATGTCAAAATCTACGACTTCAAGGGCAAGGATGATGGACTGATTACATCGTCTTTACATCACTACTGCTCCTGCCTACTTTCTGTACTCGACTGAAGAAGCCTACTGTGTAGGCGAAACGTTTCGGAATAAAGATGCCTAACTGTTGCCTATGTCTTACCTACCAACCTGTCGGTATTGTATACCATTTTGATATTCACTTACCATTATATTTCAGCCTAGTAACATCATTTTCCCCAACACGTACAGCGCCTCCTACGATGCACCAGGAATCAGTGTGACCAAGTCAATCACCACACTGCCAGCCAAACCAGTCTCTCTGCCGGTCTTGACCCTTCCTGACCTCAGTTCAATCCTGGCTGGAGCTTCGAGTCTGGCCGGAGGTCTGAGCCAGACACTGACTACTGTGGGAAAAGGAGCGTCACAGGTCCTGTCACAGGTCGTTCCTGCCGCGGCTGCTGGAGGAGTACAGGCTGCCAGGTTAGTCATTAAAACTTAAAACTTTACGTCCTCAGGGTTCAAGCTGTCAGATTAGTTTTAATAGGTCTGTAGGATTATTAGTAGTAGTCTATGAAAATATGAGAAGACCATAATTTGTCATCCTGATAGAGATACGCTGTAAGCCCCAGTCATGGCTTCAATATTCAGACATGGATTATTATTGCCATATTTGTATTGCTGTTACATTATGGGGAAGCGCTACACTCGTATTCAGAGGCCGCACCTCCAAAAACATACAAAACGTTTGCAGGGGAACGAAAATCATCTGAAATAAGCGAGTCTCGCCAGAAATATCTGAGGTCTCCAGACTGGACAATCCATTTAACTACGTAAAATATTTCTCACATATAAATTTAAAATACTAATCACGGTGGATAGTGTAAGCCCGAATCACTGCTTAAGGAGGTTCAGACAATAAATACAAATATTTATCAGCAGCTCAGAATTCTACTGGAAAAACTCATCGTTCATGATGGCGAGACTGCATATAAGCCATGGGCTTAAGATCCACAAACTATAAATAACAAAAAGGCACAATACCGTGACTGGAACGATACACCAATAACCCGCACATAAAAGAGAGAAAACTCACGACGACGCCTCGGTCGATCTCGACATTGACAAAGTCACACTTGACTTTGTCAATGGTCCGAGTCGGACCGAGGCGTCGTCGTGAGCTTCTCTTTTATATGCGGGTTATTTGTGTATCCACAAACAATGCAAGAACTATTGTTCCCATGGAGCCAAAATACAATCATTCAGGTCCATATGCAAATTGATTATATTTTTTTATTAACCTATTTCATTCCTATATTCAATAGGTGGATATCTGACAATAAATGAGAAGGTATCAGGGCAGCTACCACGGGACTGCAGTACGCTGGTCAGCTTAGCTCTTCTGTCCTCAGAGTTCTTCTTCAGGTAAGTGTTACAGTATTCTAGTCACTGAGAAGCCCTGAAACCGAAGGGGGTTATCAGGGGCGGATTAAGGTGTGGGTTTTAGGGGCTGCAGCCCAGGGGCCTCCGTCAGCTGGAGGGCCTCCGGGGGTTGTAGCCCAGGAGCCTCCGTCAGTTGGAGGGCCTCCAGGGGCTGCAGCCCAGGGTCCTCACAGTACCTGTAGCCCAGGGTCCTCACAGTACCTGTAGCCCAGGGTCCTCACAGTACCTGTAGCCCAGGGTCCTCACAGTACCTGTAGCCCAGGGTCCTCACAGTACTGTAGCCCAGGGTCCTCACAGTACCTGTAGCCCAAAAGCCTCACAGTACCTGTAGCCCAGGGACCTCTTAGTGCCTTTAATCCAGGACTTCACAGTACCTATAACCCAGGGGTCTCACAGTACCTGTAACACAGAGACCTCCCAGCACCTGTAACCCAGGGGTCTCGCAGTACCTGTAACCCAGGGGTCTCACAGTACCTGTAACCCAGGGGTCACACAGTACCTGTAACCCAGGGACCTCACAGTACCTATAACCCAGGGACCTCACAGTACCTGTAACCCAGGGGTTTCACAGTACCTGTAACCCAGGGACCTCACAGTACCTGTAACCCAGGGACCTCACAGTACCTGTAACCCAGGGACCTCACAGTACCTGTAACCCAGAGGACCTCACAGTACCTGTAACCCAGGGACCTCACCGTACCTGTAACCCAGGGGTTTCACAGTACCTGTAACCCAGGGACCTCACAGTACCTGTAACCCAGGGACCTCACAGTACCTGTAACCCAGGGACCTCACCGTACCTGTAACCCAGGGGTTTCACAGTACCTGTAACCCAGGGACCTCACAGTACCTGTAACCCAGGGACCTCACAGTACCTGTAACCCAGGGACCTCACAGTACCTGTAACCCAGAGACCTCACAGTACCTGTAACCCAGGGACCTCACCGTACCTGTAACCCAGGGGTTTCACAGTACCTGTAACCCAGGGACCTCACAGTACCTGTAACCCAGGGACCTCACAGTACCTGTAACCCAGGGACCTCACAGTACCTGTAACCCAGAGACCTCACAGTACCTGTAACCCAGGGACCTCACAGTACCTGTAACCCAGGGACCTCACAGTACCTGTAACCCAGGGGTCTCACCGTACCTGTAACCCAGGGATCTCACCGTACCTGTAACCCAGGGGTCTCACAGTACCTGTAACCCAGGGGTCTCACAGTACCTGTAACCCAGGACCTCACCGTACCTGAAACCAGGGGTCTCACAGTACCTGTAACACAGGGGTCTCACAGTACCTGTAACCCAGGGGTTTCACAGTACCTGTAACCCAGGGACCTCACCGTACCTGTAACCCAGGGGTCTCACAGTACCTGTAACCCAGGGGTCTCACCGTACCTGTAACCCAGGGGTCTCACCGTACCTGTAACCCAGGGGTCTCACAGTACCTGTAACCCAGGGGTCTCACCGTACCTGTAACCCAGGGGTCTCACAGTACCTGTAACCCAGGGACCTCACTGTACCTGTAGCCCAGGGGTCTCACAGTACCTGTAACCCAGGGGTCTCACAGTACCTGTAACCCAGGGGTCTCACAGTACCTGTAACACAGGGATCTCACAGTAACTGTAACCCAGGGGTTTCACAGTACCTGTAACCCAGGGACCTCACCGTACCTGTAACCCAGGGGTCTCACAGTACCTGTAACCCAGGGACCTCACAGTACCTGTAACCCAGGGACCTCACCGTACCTGTAACCCAGGGGTCTCACAGTACCTGTAACACATGGATCTCACAGTACCTGTAACCCAGGGACCTCACCATACCTGTAACCCAGGGGTCTCACAGTACCTGTAACCCAGGGGTCTCACAGTACCTGTAACCCAGGGGTCTCACCGTACCTGTAACCCAGGGGTCTCACAGTACCTGTAACCCAGGGACCTCACCGTACCTGTAGCCCAGGGGTCTCACAGTACCTGTAACCCAGGGGTCTCACAGTACCTGTAACCCAGGGGTCTCACAGTACCTGTAACCCAGGGGTCCCACAGTACCTGTAACCCAGGGGTCTCACAGTACCTGTAACCCAGGGGTCTCACAGTACCTGTAACCCAGGGACCTCACCGTACCTGTAACCCAGGGGTCTCACCGTACCTGTAGCCCAGGGGTCTCACAGTACCTGTAACCCAGGGGTCTCACAGTACCTGTAACCCAGGGGTCTCACAGTACCTGTAACCCAGGGGTCTCACAGTACCTGTAACCCAGGGACCTCACAGTACCTGTAACCCAGGGGTCTCACAGTACCTGTAACCCAGGGGTCTCACAGTACCTGTAACCCAGGGGTCTCACAGTACCTGTAACCCAGGGGTCTCACAGTACCTGTAACCCAGGGACCTACAAAATGTTCATCCGGCTCTGGGGGTTATACAGTACTATATTATGTTTGGTAGCAGAGCAGGTGTTGCGCAACTTAACATTAAGATCGACAACACTCTAATTGCCAGACATAATGAGGGCAAATTCCTTGGCCTATACCTCGACAACAACCTAAATTTCAGCACCCATATCCAAAACAAGGGAGGCCAAGCCATGATGACACTCTTCAGGTCACTTGTTCTATCTAGGCTGGAATATTGCTGCACACTAACAGCACCTTTCAAGGCAGGTGAAATTGCTGACCTAGAAAATGTACAGAGAACCTTCACGGCGCGCATAACGGAGATAAAACACCTCAATTACTAGGAGCGCTTGAGGTTCCTGAACCTGTATTCCCTGGAACGCAGGCGGGAGAGATACAGGATTATATACACCTGGAAAATCCTAGAGGGACTAGTACCGAACTTGCACACGAAAATCACTCACTACGAAAGCAAAAGACTTGGCAGACGATGCAACATCCCCCAATGAAAAGCAGGGGTGTCACTAGCACGTTAAGAGACCATACAATAAGTGTCAGGGGCTCGAGACTGTTCAACTGCCTCCCAGCATACATAAGGGGGATTACCAACAGACCCCTGGCAGTCTTCAAGCTGGCACTGGACAAGCACCTAAAGTCGGTTCCTGACCAGCCGGGCTGTGGCTCGTACGTTGGTTTGCGTGCAGCCAGCAGCAACAGCCTGGTTGATCAGGCTCTGATCCACCAGGAGGCCTGGTCACAGACCGCGCCGCGGGGGCGTTGACCCCCGGAACTCTCCCCAGGTAAACCCAGGTAAACACACAACAAGAAAAGTATCCAAAACGGTGGGGATCCTCTCCAAGATACGATACTACGTGCCGCAAACTGCCCTTCTCACACTATACCATTCACTTATTTATCCATACCTCACCTATGCTATCTGTGCTTGGGGTTCAACTGCAGCAACACACCTAAAGCCAATAATAACCCAACAAAAAGCCGCAGTAAGAATAATCACTAAATCCCATCCCTGGCAATACCCCCCCCCCACTCTTCATAGATCTAAACTTACTCCCTGTTCAGAACATCCACACTTACTACTATGCAATCTGTATGTACAGGACCTTAAATTCCAATATTAACCTTGACCTAAAACGCTTTCTTGATAATTGTGACAGGATCCACAGGCATAACACCAGACACAAACATCTCTGACATTCCCCGTGTCCGACTAAACCTTTACAAAAAATCAATGTATTTCAAAGGACCTAAAATCTGGAACACCCTACCTGAGAACTCTAGAACTGCAGACACATCACTTTCAAAACTACAGTTAGAAAACATCTTATCTCCCTGATCCACCCCGACAACTAACTACATGATAACCACCTGGTGGTTCACAGTTACACTCACTCACCCACTGACTATAAACCCAGAAATACTAATCTTAATCTTAAAATAATAAATCCTAACTAGTCACAAGTTTGCCTACGATACTCCAATATAGACACCTTGTATTGTGCCAAAACAAAAGCATTCACATTGCTAAACTCACAAATTATGATGTAGTCACATAGCCTTAATACCATAATCTGTAAGGATTTAATGTTAAGAATTAATCTAAGTCTGTTCGAAATGCCTAGCCATGCTAGGTGTCCTAGTGGCCCCCTCTGTAATTAGTATTTTATAACATGTAAACCACACAATACCCAAAACCTGTAAACCCCACTTTGTAACCCTTATAGAGAATAAACTTGAACTGCATTGAATAAGTTTGATTAAAAAAATATTGATCGTAGCTCCAATTCCTTGGACCAAGAGCCCTTCACAAGAATTTAGACTGTTTAGAGAGGTTTCCCGGGTAGTCTAGCTTGTCTGATTTTATAGCATAAGATAAGACAGCCCCAGTAAATATAATGGCCTGTGATAAGCAAGTTCTTCTCCAGCCTAACACTTGCATGTTTGTTCAATAAACCATATAGATTCACGGCTCTCACTCAGTCTGCATGATTTCTTATTCAGTAGATTAATAGCACTATTCTCTCTTCTCCAAATCATTTATGTCTATTAAAAAATATGACAATCAAAATCGAGTAGCTTAATCTTTGCGAGGTCTATCAATCTTATCCTTCATCAGGTTCAAAGGTGAATGGGAATCTTTGTTTATGTCCACCGCTCGGCAACAGGCTTTTATTTTTCCGTTTATCGCAAGGCAGTGTACAGTGGCATGTACATTCACTATTTTTCTTACATTGCTCCTCTGTTGTACAAAAATGGTATACAGTACAGACAAAATTGATAATTTAGACATATGTGCAACTTGTATTGATAAAGTCACTGGATGGCGAAACGTCTACAATAAATATACCCCAGATGTTGCACATGTCCTATATTATCAACATTGCACCTCTGTTAAGAAAATTATTATAATCAGAACTAAGCGCTCAACCCACCAGGGTCATACATCTCTGTCAAGAAAAGTGTTCTTATTTCTCTGTCGTTTAACGTTTTATTTGATAATTATTTTTCTTCGTGACCTCCGCATTTGTGAGCCTTTGTTTCTTGACTTGAAAATTTCTAGTCTTCGGAGTTC